ACAAGGATACCTACACAAGAGTTGCAACCTCGCGTTACAGCTGCTCATAAACGTTCACATATGAAGATTTTTTAAAATTAAAAACACCAGAGCCTGTCTTAAATAGTGAGGAATGAACACTGGACATACTGCTTCATGAAGGTATTGCGGAATTTGAGTGGTCTTTCCTGAGCCTGTCTCTCCTTCAATGATAATAACCTACAATTAAAAACAATGACTCAAAATGAGTTCCTTAGACCTTTACAACCTAACATCAGTAAACATTTCCTAAGGTGCTGAAGGGGAGAACTTGTTTAACAATCACAAGCGTCTTGAGTTGGTGATAATTTTATCCTTTCACATGATCTTTATGTTTGATATAAGGGTGATATTGTAAGGACAAATTAGATGGAAGTCACCTTTAAGGGCTATTTTTATTTATTTAGCTTCGCCTAATTATCTCAGGCAGGGAGACCACTACAGCTTTAGCCAATTACAGAGGATCCCGCGTTAACAAAGCCAGACCCCCCCCCTCCAAATTCCCAGTAAACAGGCCAGACCACATCACAGTAATCTCGTGAGTGGGTTCTTTAACATCCCCTGCCTAACCAAAATTACTAATTAATAGAAGCAGGAGACGGGACCTACGGTTTATTCTTCCTTATCCAAGAAGACTAGAATGTCTATCCTTTTCTTGACATTATAGAAAGGTAGCACATTCTCCTCAGTTATTTTAAGACCTTGAGTGTTGGTCTGGCTGGAGCTCGAACTCTCGACCTCCTGCACAACAGTCCAGCGCTCTAACCAATTGAGCTAACCAGGAGGCGGTCGGGCTAAAGGGTAAACATGGAAGAAAAATCTGGTTAAGCTATGTCAGCCTCTCTTGCATGATAATCGTGTAGAGAACTGATTTGATGCAAAAACAAGGTGAAATTTCTTCAGTTTTATTAGGTGTACAGAGGCCCAAAAGCTAACCATAGTTGGTACTCTCATTTGTTACCATGGAGAAAGGCATTTTGGTGAACGTAGAAAATGCATATCTGCCTACAAGATGACAAAAATTTCCTTCCAAATCAAACAGAAAGAATGGCCAGTCTTTAGAAACACTAAGTAGGCTGTCGTTCATAAACCTTACATTTGATAATAATAATAACAATAATAATTATAATACCAATACAAATAGCACCATTTAGCTAATCTTCCATAGCACCTTAAAATCATGATGCTAGGGTAAAAACTAAAATCTAAACCTACATGTACCAAGATAAATCTACAAAGCTAAAAAAACATATTTAAACCCATTTATCAAAAATAACATGTACAAGTGATATTAGCTTCTTTAAAAAGATAAGCCTTTAAATTCTTATTAAAACTACATGCAGCTGTTGATGGAGATTTTTTAATGCTAAGAGGCAATTTATTCCATAGCCCTGGTGCTGTGGTAATAACTGGATAATCCTTTACTGGTGCTAGGCACATTGCCCAAAAGTTGAAAAGAAAGAAACTATTGTCAAAGCAAAAGTACTGTACATTGTTAACATTTTCATTCTGACTTAAGAATCAGAAGAATAACCCCTCAAAGAAGCAAACCAAAATAATGAAGAAGAATAATGAAGAAGATCTTTGAAAGCTAAAACAAGAGTCTGTATCCTTCATTCATTACGTAATTACCTGATGTTCTCTGATGGCTTCAATAAGGCTTTCTCTATATGGGTAAACTGGTAAACTTTTTTTTGTCTGTAAATATTTAACAAAAGAGAGATGCCCAAAAAAAACTGCAATTGACAAGCACATTTCATTCAGTGACTCAGTCTGCCAGCCAGTGAGTCAGTCACTAAATTCATTTTAAAAGAGCATTCAATCAACAAACCAAACAAGACTACAAGATTTAAATTACCTCTTCAATTGTAAGTCTTTTCTTTTGATAGTCATTCATCTCTGGTTCCTGTAAATCCACCAAACAGTGACAAAGCTGATATTTTTCTTCTCTTTTTTTAACTACTGGTTAATAATATGTTATTCAAGATTAGAAAAATTGTACAGCTCTGCATGTAGATCTCACCTGCTTCTCTTTTGTCCCTGGAATCTGTTCAGCCATTACAAAATTAATCTGATCTTCATCCACAACAAGATCATAATCCTTTTTCTGCATGGGCAGAAAATTTTAAAAAATAAATTAAAAAAAATTAAGAAGAAATTAAATTATATCACTGTTAGTCACTTTGCATAATAAATTTATTTTACATGTGCATCATTTGAAACACACAGGCACTTCATGCCAGTAAAACGTAGATACAGTACACCTTTGCATTACACAAACCTCACTTTAACTATGTCTATCTCTACAGTCCCCTTGTATTGAAGCTTAGAAAATTAAGGAGCCCCCCTCCCCTCCCCTCTCCATGATCTTAAGCATTACCCACTGAAGTCACTTACCTTGTTCTTGTCCTTGGCGTCTTTGGCACCAAATTTCATAACAGCATAACCAAGCTTGTCTTCCTCCCACTTCTTCTGCTCGTAATTAGGTCCCAGTTCTTCCACTGCACTCTCATCATATTTGGCAGGTTTCTGATTTTCCTGTGGCATTTCGTATCTCTGAACTTTTTCCAGTTCTCCAGCTTTGGCATGCTCTGCTGCCAAATGGTAAATTTTTTTCTTATATTCTCGTTCATGTTTTTCCCTTTTGCTGATCTGAGCATCCTCAAACAAGTACTCATCATCACGAATGTCCTCCTGGAGCATTTCGAGTTTGTCCACCCGCCGTTTTTTTACGTAATCTCGGCGAGACTTTTTTCTCAAATCAGGAATCTGTAAAGATATACACAAAACTATGTAATTCATGAAATAAACCTTATATGAAATGAGATACAGATCACTTTTCCTTCAGCTGTGAACAAATTGAATATGGTAGCTCAAAATTTACTGTCAAACTCAGAGATGCTAACAATGAAAATGTTTGAGGAATGTGTAAAATGGATAGATGTCTGCCAGCAACACTATTGGTGAGCTCAGCATGTATTAGAAAATTCTATAAAAAAACAATAGTTAATATGTCATAGCTCTCACCATTTTCTTTTTATCCTCCTCATCCATTTTAAGTCTTTTAGCTGCCTCCTCAAAAGCCTTAAGAGTAAAAAGAAGAAAAACTTAGACCTGTACACCTCAACATCAGTATGCTTATTCCTCATATGGTACTCTATACATTTCCAAGGAGATGATAAGGAGAATTTGGTGGTGATCATTTCCTTAATTCATGTGATCTTACTGTGTGATCCAGAGGTGATACTGTAAGGAGAAATTAGAGGCTAGTCACTCTTAGGGGTTAAAGGATTACATATACTACTAGTACATATATTTCATAAACCACTAATGCACATTCCTGTGAAAAAAAATTCACTTCTTTATGCATATGTTTTTTTAAAACTAATGGTTAAAAGTCACCCCACAGATGAATGATATTTGGCCAAAAAATGGCCCCAATTTTAAAATTTCATTAATGGCAGTATCGGCTTTAAACAAATATTATTCAGCCGGAGGCTTTCCAAAATAAACTAGAGAGTTTGTAAGGTCCATGTCCTAGTGCCTCGTTGTAATGTCCATTATTTTACACTCAATTTCAAAATATTAAAATCCAGCTATAACAAAAACATTTGCACAACAGCTGACAAAATGAAATCACAACATACAGATCTGCAGAAAATTTGAGGTATAGACTTAAAATACAAAGTATAGAAGAATCCAAATTCACACATCAGCCAGTAAGGCTCAGACTACAAAGTGAGTTGTACTAAACTTGCTCGCAAAAATAAACTTCAATGTGCACAAACACTACATGTGAAAACTTTCATCAAAGCAATCATACCCAGCCAGGGGTTTCAATAAAAGCTAGTTACTGGCTTAGTCACTTCTACTGGTTGTGATACCTCTCACCACCATTGGTTTTGCCTGCACTCCTGCCTGTTTGCATTTTTCCTTATAGTACAGGTGTCTAGCACACCATTGGCAGCCACTTTTGGTAAAAGTTACCGAAACCTCTGCCCCACAGTACTGTCCATTTCCAAGAAGCCCACATCTAATTAAAAAATGAGTGTGTGTACAATGCCTTTAAAATTACATTAATTTGTTTTGTTCTTTCAAATGAAGCTCATTCTTACAAGAAAGGCTTTGCACTTGGCCTCTCTGTAATTGGATCTTGGAAGTGGACTTTCACTACAATGTCATGGTACTACTAAGATACCTTCTTGTCTGATCTCTCCATTATATTCCTGGTCTTCTCCTTATCACGTTTCTTCAGTCTATCAGCAAACGCATCCCTCTCTTCCAAGTCTTTTCGCCTTTCCTCTTCTTCCCTTTCCCATTCATCCGAGTCTGACTCATTACCAACATCCTTTGAAGCTCGTGTATCATCACCAAGAGAACCCTCATCAGAGCTGGATGATTCTGTTTTCCTTCGCAGATGCTTCCGTTTTCTATCCTTTTTAGATGCTTTGGCTTTACTCATTTCCTCTTCTTCGTCATCGTCATCAGACACCAATGAATAACCCTGAAACTTCTTTCTCTCTTCAAGAATGGCTCTTTCCTTCGCCCTGTACGGGTGTTCTACTGGCTGTGTCTTATGCGGTAGCTTCGACCACAGCTCTTGAGCAAAGGAAGCCATCTTGTTGTCTACTTCTGATACCTTCTGTACGAGAGATTCAACACTGGTGGAATTTTTGGCTAGTCCGATCAGGTATTCTACCGTGTACCTATCCGAGAAACCTAGAACATCGTGTAGTTTATCGGAAACCCACGTCGTTAACTCAGCCATGCTACCTCTTATAGCTAATTAGCGAGAAACTTCATAACAACACAACGAAATATAGGGTGACTGACACTTCAGACAACAAAGAACGTCCTCTGACGTTTACGTTTTTGTAAAACTGCATGCATTCAACAAGTCGGCCATCTTTACTTTTGACCACGAATGGCACGCTGGGATCTACCAACCGCTGTTCAGTAAGACATGATCGTTGACGCGGAGCAAAATGGAGGCTGAGTTGAGGATTCGGAACGCGATCGAAACCGACGTGGAGGAGATTTACAGAATCCACACTGAAGCCATCAAAAAGAAGTGTTCTACTCGCTATGGCGCGGAAGATGTTTCTGCTTGGGTTGCTAGACAGGAAAAAGCGAAGTATCTACCTTTTATAGTAGCGAATGAAATCATAGTAGCAGAGATCGCTCAGAGCAGAAGAGTTGTGGGGTTTGGCCATCTAACTGCAGATACAGGAGCAGATTCTGACGAAACTGCTGATGGAAAAGCTATGCAGATCAGGGGACTCTTTGCTGATCCTGACTGCGGTGTTAAGGGGGTGGGAACCGCGCTGGTAAAGGAACTCGAGAACAGAGCAAAGGAATTTGGAGCCGTGCGCGTCAAGGTGAACTCTTCTCTAAATGCTGTTGAATTTTACAAGAAATGTGGTTTCTTCGCACTCGACATTACACGCCATCAGATATCAGAGCAATCTTGTCTGCAATGTCAAAAAATGATAAAATACTTGTGACCTCGGGAGCATGATGTTTGTGTGACTATTAACGTGACGGAAAAGGAAAGTCACTGAAATAGCTGCTTCTCTGTCCTCTTTGGCAAGACAATACCATTTCATGATTATGCCTTGATTTTCGAAGTTAACATTGTTGATTTTAAACCTCATCCATAGACATATGATCTAACAGTTTTCATCTCAGAATTTGTTAGTTTTGACAGCTAAAGTCAACATGAATATGAACAATTGTGCTCGGAGAATGAATTTTCATCATTTTCAAAGTTACCAGCTCCAGACCTCCGTCGAGTTGTTATCTCTATTTGGCTCATCTGAGACAACAGATATGGAGCTAGCGTATAGGTTATATGCCCTCCTTTCAGCGTGATTTGGAGCAGAAACGTATGTCCACTTTACTCTTTAAAATTAAAACAAATTTTTCATTTACTAAAAAATTGCAAACTTGAAGCCGGGACATTGCTAGCTCGATCCAGACGATTTGGCTTATATAAGACATCAGACATGCAACTAACGTATAGTTTATAGGCTTAGTTTAACTCTTAGGGTAATAAATGGTCACATCTTTTTTGGACTTTTTTTTATATCAATCTACAAAACTATTTTCAAAACTAACGGTGCTTGCGGTACTGTTATAATCACTGTTTGCAACACAGACAATACTTACAAAGCTAACATCATTTGCAACACTAACATTAGTTAAGTACTAATAGCACTTGTTTGAATACTAATCTTATTTTACTAATTTTCTTTTTAAAAACCTATATACTTGCCTATACCTCCAGTTACTTTGCTTTAAATTGAATCGACCAAACACCATTGGTATCGCCTCAGACTGTATTGATAACTTGTGTTTCTATCTACAGTCATCTTGTGTTGGTGGTTTAACTCTCTAAATAAAGTTGTGCTTTTGAACGCCTTGAGGTGGACGACAGCGTCTCTCCATCTTGTAACAGCAAATCAACCAAATTTTTCCTTACTGGAGGAAACGAGGATACTTAAAGTAAACACGATACGACAAAGACATGCCGTAGGATCGAAATGCAGAAATCACTGTCAAGCGCAAACAAATTAGTGTATCAAAGTAGGACGCGTCATGCAACACAACCCATCGGCGAGCTCGCGCAACAAAAAGTTATTTTCTGCGCTTAATCTTCTTTTTCAAAAATGTAAACACCAAAGCAAAAACATGAACCCATTTTGTCGATAAGACGTAACATAAAATGGCTACAAATTGCGCATGCTCTGAACATGCCGGAGGCTCCTGCTCCCAAACGGAGTTGTGAAAATGTGCCGTGTTTGAAATTTTTCTAATTTAAAAAAGTTTCTGAAATGGGTGATCCTGAATTACCACTACCAGCTCCACCGCTACTAAAGCGACAAAATGCCCTTTAGGGTTAAGAGCTCTTGGAAGCTTTGATTCCAAAGGGCCATGTTGACTGACATTCAGTCGACATTATGGGGAGGCCTTCCCCATGATCAAACACTGAAAAAGTTACCTTTGCCTAGTAACAATAATAGAATACAAAGGCATATAAAGCACGTGAACAGAAGTAGATAATGTCTAGCGTAAACACTATTTTTTTTGCTACCCTGTGTAGCAGTCGTTTTGTCCCCCAAAGGAAAAAGGCGAACTAAAAGCTTGTGAGACGCAGGCAAAGAGAACCCGCACGGGAACCAACCAGCGTTCAGCTGTTTTGCTCAAACACGACGAATGGACTGAGGGCACGCGAGTTGCTCTCTTTTACTGGCTGCCTCGTGTGTGACTTTTATTTCGTTTCGAAGAAACAAGTGTCAGAGTGACTTACAGACCTCATAACGTTTCTATTGTAGAAAAACTGTGCAGGTGGATTTTTCCAATGAAAATCAAATCCTACACGGGTAGTGATAGAACCAAAGTGTTTGTTGAGTAAGATGAAGAAATAGATGAATATGTAACGAAGGTTTCAAAATCGAATGCTATTCCAGGTTGTGACATACGCACGTAATGCGTGTATTCTTCTAACAATAGCATAAACAATAACTTTCTAAGCCATTGTTTCGTAGCTCCGCCTAGACAAGTTAATGAGCTTAAGCTCCTTGAGAAGGAATGAGCGCGTAATCTTTGATCAAGCAAAGCTCTCCAGAATACCTTTCGCCGCTAATATTACGGATCTATAATTTTTTCGCTACTGCAAGTAAATGTCTCGAGAACAATCGGCATTCTGCGCGATGAAATACAACTGTCTTAGACTCGAGATGATCTTGTGTCTTCTGACTTGTTGTTTCGTTTCGTAAAGAATGTGCGTCGGTGTAGTCGGAATTGTGGTGGAAAGAAGTCTAGAACAAGAGTATCAAATCAAAGACTATTTTGCTCTCAATGGAGAAAAGAATAGTAAACGTGTACAACAGAAAAACGGAGAAGTGAAGTTAAAACCACCATGAAGTTACTAAAGATCACGGCCCTGTTGTTCAAAGGGCAGATTACGCTTTCCAATGGCCGAATAGCCATCCAGCGGTTGTGCTAACAAAACGTATTGTGTTATCGACTGTATAGCGTTATCCACCCTTCAACCAATAAAGGTCATTGTCTTCATACCAAGAGGGACTATTTAAGAGATATCTTAGGCTTTGTGTAAAAAACGTAAACACAGGCAAATAAAGTGAAACGTTCCTTCTTGAAAGTTGAGGTAGGTGTGTCCTTGTCATCGAAGAAGGAAAAAAAAAGTTACTACCTATTACTGCCTTTAAACTCAGTAATTCTTTTCGACTCTAAAGAAATTAAGTGTTCTCATCACCTTTTCATGTCATGAGAGAGGTCTTCCTTCGTGTATCGAGACCTCGTGGTAAGGTTATGTAAACGAAGTTTTTATAAAGAAATTGAATCTCCAAAACCACGAAGTTCGTTAGACCTCGCCCAAAAAGCACCCAATTAAATACATTCGCTGAATTTTCACTGTAAATTAATACTTGAAAGCATCGGTATCCAAAAGATTAATATACGCTCTTAAGCTATGTTCAATTTTCCAATGTTTAGAATCGAAATCTTCAGTAGCTATTGTTGTTACAGCTCTCTTCTGCGTGTTCTCAAGTGTATGGAAGAGGAGTGGGGAGTGATAGCGAGTAGAAAAACTAATAGACTTCAGATTTCAGTGATATGCACTGTTGTTGCCATATTAAAGCAACTTTTTATGTGGTTTGAGTTTAGAACATTTAGCTCAAAAGTCGGTGCAAAAATTTAAAAAAACTAAGAATAACGGGCACACTTGATCACGAAATTAAGTACTATGACTCCACCTTATAATTTGGTTGTTTATGCCCTGTGCATGGTTAACAATCGTGCTAGATTAAAGGGAAAGCACGCTTGAGAGCTCATGCTTCGCGATGGTATTACCTCAGGACAGTAGATTTTTGTTACCCCTCATTCATCATTAATTCAGTAACAAAATCATTATATTAGTTATTGGTCATCAACAGCGCGATTTGAGCATTAATAGTACAGTGTACTAGTCAAGCTTGCAATTGGACCGCTCAATTTTCATTACTCTTTATTCATTACCAACTCAACTATATTTACAAGTAACCTTAAAACAAGACTCCCGAAAGTGAAAGGTTGGCATGCAATGATATTTGAGTACCACTAGGACAGCGTACTCTTCTTCAAGCTTGTATGCCTCATGTCTGCCCTAGGCAAGGGTTATCAGTCTCACCCTTCGGCTTCGGCTGATAGCCCCTACTTCGACCTTGATTATTCTGGATATCAAAAAGAAAACCCATCCAATAATTTTTTAGAACGAAAGCAAAATCATTCCATCTCGGATTACCTTCGACATAGTTGAAAATTATTCTTACAATCAAATCACCCAGCTAAGTCAAGTGGCAAAAAAACTGTTTGTTTTAAAGATCAATTGTGGAAACCTTAACAACCCACATTGAGTCTTCACCCCGCCTTTACTTCAGGCCTGGCGACAATTGGTCTGTCCTGCTCTTGTCCAAGTACTTTCAGATGTGAAATATGAGCACCAAGCGCCTGAAAGAAGGTCTCCTTGTAACTGTACCTCACCCCAAACTCCTTACACGTCTCACGGACGATGGGAGTAATCTGAGGATAGTAATACTGACTCACTCCTGGGAAGAGGTGATGGGCTGTTTGATGATTGAGAGCTCCTGGAAAATATGGGAAAGGATGATTGGTTGGTTATCTTAAGTGTACACGTTTAAGCTCCCGCATCAGACTGTCTTATATTATATGAATGACACTGAATGACACAAATGATGAACGGAAACCGTAGAAGAATCTAGACTGTGTATATCGGGCATGACTCGAGAGGCAACTACCGCAAGGGTTTTGTCTGATGTATAATAAAATCAAAGGTAATTGACCTGGCCTAGATGCCCGATATGAACATTTTTGCTTACACTCTCACAAACATAGGAGGTTTCAGAGACAAAAAAAAACAATACAAAACAAAACCAAAAAAAAAACAGCCAGCCAAATGGGATGGCAAAAACTCATGCAGACAAACCTCATAACTGTTTTAACTATAAGGATCCTATACATCACCTGTAAAAACATTCCAGAACCAACTGTCTGTTGCATAGTCCAACGTTGACTCGACCTGAAGCTCTGCCCTTAAGATACAACGAAAATCTCCGGTGAGTGTCATTTACAGTCACCAAAATTGTTGAAATATGACCCATCTCTTTGATAACAGGTTAAGAGAAGAGATACATACCAATCCCTTTTCATTACACCTTTTTCATCAGGCTGTGGCCATTTGACCTTTCCAAAAGAAAACAGAAAAAAGGGAAATGGATGATTTTTGTGTGCAGTCGCATTTTTTATATCACCTTTAAACCAGATGTGGTTGTAAATTACGAGGTGGTGCACGATCAGAAAAAAATATATATTTTAAAAAATGTTACAACCAGAAAAAATTTGTAAGTAACCGCACAAATTTAGCCTCTCAGTTTCAGTCAGAGAAGATTGCCTGTGTCTTTAGTAATTTGACGTAAGGTGGCGATAAATACCAATCCTTGGTGCAGCATCAGCTGAAATGAAAGGCGAACCTATCCCCGAAAATGAAACATATTTAAACAGAAATGGAAAATATTCAGATTTTAGCTTGAAGATATGGTGGTATTTTCTTCTCTTTCCAGGTTTCAACTGAAGTTATCTGAACGGCCGTGGTATTCTTGTTCTCTGATAACGATATAACGGCAACAACAGCCATACGTAGCGTTTCATATAAACAAAACTTCAATCTGTAGAGCACCTTCAAACACATACCTCGCTAACAACATGAGATGCCTGAAATATAAGAGCCAACCAGTAACTTGCTACTATCTCGGCAAGAAACATGAGAGCAACCTAATATTTGAATAAAAAGAAATAAAAATGAGAGTTAGCAAGGGACAGGGTGATTGCACCGTTTTGATGAAAAAGTCCCACGACCACGAGAATGCCTTTTCAAGATCTATCTAACTAAAGGTTGTCCAAGTTCCCTGAAGCTACGTTTTCTCCGCCCACATTGTTCACCCAACCACAGGAGCCCACTCAATAAGAAAACTTAATTTGCATATATTTTATCATTTATTTTAAATGTATGATATAACAAGTTGTAACAATTTCACGACTACCACTTGCTTTCATTTCCTTCAATCAAATGCATCATGAAATTAATGGATTTAAAATCCTTAATCCCTGGTCTCTCGGATTCAAAGATAGTGTCCCTACGCGTCTCTAACTGTCATTTAGCCAT